TCCTCCTCCATGCTTCACTGTGGGAACCATGCATGCAGAGAATATCTGTTCACCTTTTCTGTGTTGCACAAAGACACGGCGGGTGGAACCAAAGATCTCAAATTTGGACTCATCAGACCAAAGCACAGATTTCCACTGGTCTAATGTCCATTCCTTGTGTTTCTGATCTATGCTGCTTGTTGCTTTTCCTTAGTAGTGGTTTCTTAGCAGCTATTTGACCATAAAGGCCTGATTCGTGCAGTCTCCTCTGAAGAGTGGATGTAGAGATGAGTCTGCTACTGGAACTCGGTGTGGCATTTATCTGGGCTCTAACCTGAGGTGCTGTTAACTTGTGATTTCTGAGGCTGGCGACTCAGATGAATTTATCCTCAGCAGCAGGGGTGACTCTTGGTCTTCCTTTTCCTGGAGTGGTCCACATGTGAGCCAGTTTTGTTGTACAGCTTAATGGTTTTTGCGACTGCACTTGGGGACACATTCAAAGTTTTAGCAATTTTCCAGACTGACTGACCTTCAGTTCTTCAAGTAATGATGGACTGTCATTTCTCTTTACTTTGCTGATTGGTTCTTGTCATAATATGAATTCTAACAGTTGTCAAATAAGCCTGTCAGCTGACTTCTGCACAACACAACTGATAGTCCTAACCCCATTAAGAAGGCAAGACATTCCACAAATGAACGCTGACAAGACACTTGTGTCGTGAAAACCATTTCAGGTGACTACATCATGAAGCTCACTGAGAAAAGGGAAGGGTTTGTAGTGCTGTCAACAAAGCAGGGGGTGGCTACTTTCAGGAATCTAAAATATAAAACATATTTAGTTATTTATCAATGTTTTCTTTGCTACATAATTCCATATATCTCGCTTCACATATTTGATGTCTTCTGTTTGTATCTACAATGTAGAAAGTAGTAAAATAAAGACAAAACATTGAACGAGAAACCTTTGACTGGTAGTGTATAATAAAGCCAAGACACGCTATTACAAAAAGTATTCACTCACCCATTCAAATTATTTAATTCAGGTTTTCCAATCACTTCCATGGCCACAGCTATATATAATCAACCACCTAGTCATGCAGATGGTCCCACTCCTCTTCATTCCAGAAGATTTGGCATGCAGTTTTTCTCCAAAGAATTTCAAATTTCAGTTAATCTGACCTTAGAAAAGTTTTCCACTATGTGTTCGTCCATTGATTTCTATGACAGAATTGTGCCTGTTTTTAAAGCCTAAGGCTTTAACAATGCCGCGAAATGTACACATTAAATTCAAAATGCCTGATTACCTGTTGGATTTAGGATATGAGTCCAAGAGACTTTTTTGTGCATCTTAAGATATTACAGAAGGCTGACAAATTTCAGACTCGGATCAAACATAATACAGGGGCTGCTTTCTAAAAGATTTTACGTGGCGCTGTGGAGTCAGTTTGCAACATTTATTGAAGAGAGCTATGGAACTGGAAAGAATACATCAGCTGTTCTGATACTCCTGACACATACGGGATCACTAAGGGTTTTCGCCGAGGCAGCAGTTGTCCTTCTCTCCTGGCTCAGCTGGAGCTTTCTTTAGGTGCCTTCCCAGCCAATCCAAATATCCAGCTGGGATAACCACATTAACTCAGGGCCTTCTTCATATGATGTTCTTCTGCTTCTCTGGCCACTGTATCTGTGGGGATTGTGTTAGTTAGACTGTGTTGAGAAAATCCCTAAGAGCAGTTTGCAAAAACATGGAAATGATAAAATAGCCATTTTCAATTCAAAATGTCTGACTTCCTGTTGCGTTTGGGTAAATAAGGCCATACACATGTTTTTGTCTGTCATTTGCATGTTACACATGTGTAATCTGTAACACTTCATTATAGCTTCATTATGGCTCGGGCGCCATTTTGAATCGTCCATGTGCCAAACCTGTACAGGTCACCAGACCTGACGTATGTGCAAAATTTCATTAGTTTTTGAGCACGTTAAGGTCCTCAAAAGACAATTCACTTACTAAAATAATAAATGAAACAGATGCAATAAGACCTTCATGCTTTTATTTCCATAGGGACCTGACTATCTATGAACTTGAGTTAAAGAGCACATTAGTTCCTGACTGAAACAATGGTGCAGTCCAGTATGTAAATCCTAAAACATCTTTTTCATGTTTTTTTTTCCTTTTTCTCACCCTCTCACTTTAACATACTCACTATATTCTGTTCTTTCAGTGTTGCTTCCCTTTTGATTTGACATGTTAGATTCCCTTCCATTTCTCCTTTGATCATGTCCCACTGTGTTTCTGCTCCATCATAATCACCAGGTGCCCCGATTCTGGTAATACTGATGATTTTGCCTGATACTATTGACCTTAAAAGGTGCAACCTGTCTCAATTCCAGGAAGGTCCCATCCAAAGTTTGATGTGTAATAGTGTGTGAGATCCCTACTGCTTTCTCTCTCTCCTCAGGCACTCTTCCCAGCTTTTGTAGGGGAATACCAGAGTGTTCCCAAGCTAGCCAAGAGGTATAGTAAACATTCATATACAGATGGTATTAATCACCGAAACATCTCAAACAAATAAAAGTTTCACTTCAAGAATTTTTTTCCAAGTTCAAGGCATTAATCCTGCCCCAAACTTCCCAGATATTAATCAGAACAAGCACCCACAGGATGTGGCACAAGACCAAGGCCTCACACTGCAACACAAAGGATCTACATCTCAGCTACCAATGCACCAAAGCACACTCCAGATGCTGTGTGTCTATGTCTTGATCAGTGCTTACAAAATAGTAATACTGGATTTTTTTCATGTTTTGGCAGTGTACAGCCCTGCATATCTACTGTCTCAATTGCCTAGTTACCTAGATTGTCTTCCACATAACTGTAAGAGAATTTGATGTTATTTAATATGTACCTTCTTATTTGTAGTATAATGAGATAGAAGATCAGGTTAGTCTTCCTTAAACAGCAATGAAAGCCAGAATGATTAGCACACATTAAAGACTAAAACTGTGAAATTGAAACAATGTTTCTTTTCAAGTGGGGCCCAGTGGAGATGATGCTTAGACTCCACGCTGGAAGGAATTCTTACTCTGATACTAATTTAAAAAAAAACAAAATATATTTTAATCCCATCCGTTTATTTTCTTCCCAAGGCACATCTCTGCAAAGCAAACAAATTGAATGCTTTAAAAATTAGTCTAATTGCAGCGCTTCAGTGGATCCTTACAGAGGTCCAATGAGCAAAATAGCACAGCAGCTTACTGAAGAATATTTTGGCTGTAACTGAGCAGAACTATATCACACTGGATCATGTAGGATATTTTGTATTAATTGACACTAAGAATATGAAAAATGTCCATGACATGAGTAATATCGATTGATGCAGACATCATTATGAATTTTATTTAATACACAGAGATTTTACCAGCAGCTGAGCTATTTAATTATTTGATATTTAATTATTCTAACTGCTGACCAAGGCCAGGAGAATAAGGAGAATGAACGGGGCATTTTCTTAAAAAAGAAATATTACCCTATTTAACAAAAGAAGTTTCTTGTCAACGTGTTGCTGCACAATACTAACAGGACACATTTATATATGAATTCAGAACAGTGGGATGCAAAGAGTTTCAATGGGATATAGGAGATGAATGGTTTAAGTTTGTTTTTTAAAAATCGAGTGTATTCTTATCCACATCTGGAAAGGATTTCCAGTTAGATGTTAGACAGGAAAAAGCTGAGAAAACCTTCAAGTCACAAACCTTTACAAAAACTCCTATACTCTAAGTACACTTTCACCTTTGCATTAGTGAACAGCAAAAAACAAACAAAAGGTTATTAATCAACTATTTAATTAAAAATTACTATTAAAAAAAAATCTGCAAAATAAGTTTTAAAAGCATAATAATGTTTTGAACTAACCTGACATGGCGAATTTAGTGAGTCAATTTCATATCAAGTTATTATCAGTTTACATGAAATACTTTTTCATGTAAACTTTTTGTCTGTTTCTGTTCTTTAATATGGACATTTCGTCATTTGCAAGGTCATTTAAAAAGAAAGAGAGAGGCAAGGATGGCTCCTGTATCTGCTGCAGGGCGTATAAACTGCTACCCTGATCTATAAAGAAAAACTGAACCTGTGCTTAAATCAAACCCTGATGCAGCCAAATGAAGAATTATCGTGTAAAAAGATTTTCAGTGTTATTGATCTTCTTTCTTCTTCCTTACGTTATATTCCTTTATTGATTTGATGGAGACTATTTATAACAGTTTTACAAAATAAAATTATAATAAAAGAAAAATGACATCTACACGGGTTTCAGAGCATGGACAACATATGGTGAGCTTTGCAGAACACTGTTGTTACAGGATAACTTAACAACAGTGCAAACACAGATTCTTATTTGCAAGGGACATGACTTTCAATGACTCCGAGGTAAATGTAAATTATAACTGTGACACACTAAGGCTGAAACATCCTTAAAAGTGATCTACTCGTACACTTCTGCTCACTACACTCTTTGTAAATCCTTTGGGTTGTGACTTTACTTTGGACTGTAAATGGTATGACTGTAAACGCCGTTGCAGGTTGTTAATTTTTTTATACTTTTAATAAATCGGCACTACTGCTCTGTTAAAATATAATTTGTCAAAATTAAGTGCTTCATAAAATCAGACCAAAAAAGAGTGAGAGCAACAAAGATGAATTTTTTCATGAAATTAAAAAAAAATGACAACAAATCCTGAAAAACTGGCAAGTAGATTTTTTTATTGACCGCCTGTACATGAAGCTCGTGCAATAAGCAGTCACAGTCGCATATCAGATTAGGACAGAAAAATACAGCAATTCAATGCCTAGTCTCTGAGGGCAACAAAGAAAATCTGATGATAGCATTATGTGATATTATTGAATTTCATAATGCGTTCTGTTCGTGACCTGCCCATGCTGTGTGCAGGAGGGGCTGCTGACGTGAAAAGAGAGCAGGAGGGTCGGGGCTGAAATCACAATAAAAGGTGGCTGGAGTCCGCTTTTCATCCAGTGCTCCACACGCCAGGCAACTTCTGCTGCTGACTGCAACGTGAACCAGACTGAAGGAAGTCACATCAAAGGTAAGTTACAGTTTTTGTAGCCTTTAAAGGCATGCTTTCAAATAGTTTTGTTGTCATGTTAATATTGTGTTTTTTTCTTTCTCAGATGCAGAGGGGCTTTGGGATATTTTGCATGTCGCTCATCTTTTGTGCAACTCTTTCCGAGACCATCGGGCTAGTTGTTGCGGTAAGCAGTTCAAAATTCAGTACAACGTTAATGTTAACCTCCCACTTAAATTTAGGTGCCAAGAATCAATGTACCAATAAAGACATAAAGACAACAGAGACTAATAGAAATGTCAAAATGATATCAAATATCATTATAAAGTAATCTATTTTAGTTTACAACAAAATTTTTAAGCAGCAAATCACAAAAATAAAATGTGTATATGTGAGTATATTAGTAGTAAAAAGTTCAAATCTTCAAGTGAATGAAGACAAAACAAGCTAAAATCACAGATTCACAATGAAACCATACAGACCATGACCAAATCCAAGAGCTCAAACTTCCCAATAGCAGACGCTACAACATGTAACACAGAGATGCAGGTGAGGTTAAATTCAATTAAATTCAATTCAAGGAACCAACCCATGATTCCATGATTTCCAAGAGACCCTAAATAAACCCACATTAAGAATCCACATGTAAGAAAACTAAGGGGAAAAAAAACATATTCAGAAATTTACTAGGAAAGTAAAATACACAAACTCCCTGCAGGCATATGACAAGCCTACAGACCATGACAATAAGGATGTTTTACATTCAAGAAAAATGCTCTTAGATTTACACATCAAAAACTCATTAAAACTGTCTCCTTGTCCTTTAGCTGCTTATTGTATCCATCTTTATATCTTGCAGGCAAAAGAAAAGCGAGGCTGGACTATGAACAGCGCTGGCTACTTGTTAGGGCCCCGTAAGTGTCAACACACACACACACACACACACACACACACAACACACACACACACACACACACACACACAACACACATGCACGCACAGACACACACAGAAGCTTACATGCACACACCAGCGCATATTGTTTTGTGGTTGTTCCAGTAACGTTGTTTACAAAAGCCTCATTAATAGTATGTGGTGAAATGGCCCAATGCTAATTTAGTGTTATTTAAAGATTATCATGAGTGACTGTTGGGTATCCAGTTTTGTGTGTCAAGGTATATATTCTTACCAGCTGGAGTTTGAGTCATTCCAGGGCAGGAACCCTGAAGAATGTTGTCCCTTTGTGTGCATCCGTGTGTGTGTGTTTTTTTTTTTTTTTTTTTTTTTTTTTTTTTTGTGTGTTTGTGTGTGTTTGTGTGTGTGTGTGTGTGTGTGAAGCCCAGGTAAAGGTTGCTCCTGCCTCATCCTGTGTTTCAGGTCGTATTGATCACCTAATTCAGATAAAGGATTCTCCCAGTGCCAGAGGCAGAGACGAGCTGGTCACTCAATGTAAGATAGAAACATACAGCTGCTGCAGGGCCTTGGGGTCACCAGGAATTGCTCTGTTTAAACATCACACCTTTTAGCTGCTTTTGTTTCTTTGCTTATGTATACAAATGTTGCAATTCTGTCTGTGCTTTGAGCCAAGTAACGCATTGATGACCTCAAGAATGAGTTAAGGAAGGTTTAGCATACAGCATTTTTGAGACTTTGGAGGATTACACTCCAGATGCATCGTGTTGACAGAATGGGAAGAAAATACGATCGTTTAGAAGACTATCGTCACGTTCACTGCAGAGAAGATGTAGCACTGACTAACACAGAGTTTTCACTGTGATATTTGAAATAGCAGTACAGCTGACAAAGAGCTGATAGCCCAGTAACTTAATTTAGAAGTTTTACATTTTTTAATATTATCAAAAATATTTTCAAGTCATGCTACCAATTTATTTTATTAACAATTTGCTGATAAAAGATTGTATGTAAAGATCAAAACACAAGGTAGATCCAATAGGACCTTTTTACCCTGGATGGCAGACATCATTAAAATACCTTATTTTTTAATGCCGGGGTCTCACATGTAAAACTTTAGCTAGACTTTTAAAAGCACACAAAGAGAACAGGGAGTATTAGTTCAAGGACTACTTTAGCTAATGACGAAGCCCCCAATTAGAGTCAAACAATTGTCACATGTAAAAACCACTCAGAGTAAATGACAGCACTGAAGTATGTGAGCTCACTATAACAACACGTAGCTGGTGAGTAATGTTGCAAAGTGAGACTAACTGGCCTGACACTGTACATGTTTTCCATTCTTCAAATGCAAATATGAGCCAATATAATGTATTCAACTCATGTGAGCTTCACATGTTAAACTACAAATCTCAGTCAGGTTGCTGTCTGTTCTTTAATTTCAAAATATCACAATAACATTTTTAATTATTGGTCTAGCTTAAGAATACTATGTAGTACAATAGTACAGTTACCGTTATTATTGGAATTGGGAAGAGTATGATTAGTAATTAAAGCAAATGAAAAAAAGGAAATGCAAATATTTAATTTACAATTTTAACCGGAGGCCACTGAACTCTGCGCATGCTACCTCAACCTGCTCTTTAGGCACATAAAAAACAAATTAAAATGTAAATGTGGAGACACACCGACAGTCTACAGCACACTACCATGGCTAAGTAAAACCCTCTGCTTGCCTGTTATTTTATGTTGATTTTCATCATCACTATTGTTTCAGTGCATTTACTTGTCTGTTAAAACTGCCGTTCAACAAGTGTGCTTTTTCTATTCCTTCCATCAAACCTCTACTTACTGCAATTCCATGAGCCAAGCCCTGCAGGTGGTCTGTACGAGTTTGGAAAGTGAACCAAACAATTACAAACCAAATATCATGCTGAAACTGTGTGACGTGTGAACAATGTCCTTTAGAACTTCTTACAGGAATCAGGTAGCGGTGTGCACTGTGTATGTGTGTGTGTCTGTTGTATGATGCCTCTAAACCAGTGGGATATTTGTACGTATTTTCTGTTACATACACAAAACTTTAACCATTTACTCCATATTATTTTTACTTTGTCAACTGTCATTGTCACCTTAATCAAACAGAAAATTAAATGTCACAGCCAGTATATTAAAAAATTAAGCAGCTGAAAAGGATTATTATTATTGTAAGTACATGAAAATTACACATAAATCACATTTACCAAAATGTTAAAATTGCTGAATTTCTAGTGAACTGAGCTGATAATGGGAATGAATTAATTAAATGCTTAGTTGGGCCATCTGATGTTTGTATGAGCGCATCAACTGCGATCACTCCTCATTATCCAGATGGACTAGATGGACTACATGGACACACGAGACTAGGAGACAAGCCGGGTCTGGCTGGGAAGAGGGACATAGGCCAGGAGGAGGACTTCAGAACAGGTCTGTATGTCTCACAAAGAAACACGACAATCTTTCTTCCTCTTAAAGAAGATATTTTATTTCGAGTGTTATTTAACAATAATCAAAAGGTATTTTATGATGTATCTTCTTGGTTAATTTAATTTGATATACTGAATGTTTTGCTTTTATTACTGTTTTATGTATAGCTGTCATGTTGATTAGCTACCTTTAATGTATAAGGAACACTGAGGAAGGAGATGGTAGAGGGGGAGACCTAAAATGCCTTGAAGAAAATAGGAACTTGTAGTCATTTAAGTGAAAAAGTCCTTTAAATAGCCCAAAAGAAGAGAAGCCACATATATTTTAAAGGGAAACAGTGCAATAAAGCCTCAAGTTCCAAAACAAAATAATACCCCAGATTATTTATTGATGTATTATTTAATATTTTGTGTCTTTTACAAAAAAAATGCTAGTTTATATTTTGGAAACTCTGGAAATGTTTTATGTGTTTTATGATCATTTATCTAAAACACTGAATAAAGAAATCTAACAAAAACAAATAACAGCAAAAACAAGACAAGCAGTGCTTGTACCGTTTAATCTAAAAAAAGAAAGACATCTTTTAAAGCATACCAAAATAAAAGCGATCTCTCTCCTTTCACCGCGTCATAAAGTGTCATAAAGATTTTCCATTCATCAAGCCTTTAAATTACTGTTGTAGAAATCTTCACTGGTTTTCAGCAGCGAAACATTTCCACTGCGATGGACTAAGGCTGAAAGCAATAATCACAGAGTGTGAGGGCTAGTCAAACTAGGATCATTGGAAGGTGAAATGTTTTACATTTTTACGGTTTTTTTTAAAGAAAGCTTAGACACATCTACTTTGTATGGAATTCAGTAGCCTTCATGTTTCATTCCCATTAACCTTTGTTCATGAGTTCACAACTGATGCTTTGTTTAAATCTAATACTCCTACTTGTATCGTAAACCTTAGTATCTGAGAGAATTTCATTTCTCTGTATGATCTGTGTATATCAGAGCTCCTGCCATTTCAACCTGTCATTCTTGCTGTACCTCCACAGGCGCCCTGAGAATAGCAGATGAAGAAATTATCCACACTGTCATTGACTTCTTGTCATACCTCAAACTTAAAGGTATGCTTCTCACTTATTTGAAAGCGAGGGGAGTTCATGAACAAAATAATACAGGTCTGCATACAGAAGTCACTGCAACGACAAACTCTTAAAAGCACACCAAAGTTTGATTAGCGAACTTTTTCAGGTCTGTATATCGGTCCATTTGTTAAACATGGAAATATTCTTTCAGTGATAGAATCTTCATTTTCTATTGAATTAGCACACAAATTACCCCATGCACAAAACTAAATGTGAAAATGTAATGTTGCATATTTGACTTTATGACATCTAGAGGTGTGATAATATTGAAAATTGTTTAATCTAATCATACAATAACACACAAGTTTATCATCAGATCAAACCTGGCAGGGATCCTGTATAGCCATGTATACTGATAGTATTATTACCATGTCAGAGACTGTTCAACTGACTGCTAGTGCAGTTTTTCTAATCAGCCAGTTACATTGCAGGAACTCAGTGATGCACAAGTTGGCCTGTTGAATTCTGCATCTACAACATGAAAATGTGAATCCATCCAGCCTTGTGCTGAAGGTTCAGGCTGTATGTCTTGGCAGAATGGTACCAACTGATCATATTGTTAATGACCATGTCCATCCCTATGTTACCAACAGTGTACTGATCCTCTAACAAGATAGCGTGCCATCTCACAAACTCACCTCAAACTGATTTCTTGAACATGACAATGAGTTCACTGAACTCAAATGCCTCCACAGTCACCAGATCCCTCGTGTGATAAAATCATGTCAAAAGTTTCTTGTCATGTCCAAAATCTCAGGAGAATATTTCCAGCACATTGATGATTCAATGCCACAAAGAATTAAGGCAGTTAGCAAGGTGAATCTAATAGAGTGTCTGCTGAGTGCAAACAAACAGAGGTATGATAAAATGAAAAACAACTTTCTGCCTATTATGTCTCAGTATTGATGTTCTGTCTGTTCTGTTTGTGCAACATTACAGAGATGGGAGCCTTGGACAGCCTGCCTCCTTCTGTCACATCAGATGAACTGGCCAATCCCTAAGGCTTTTGCTTCTCTGTTATAATTGTTGTGTTTCAACTCTTCTCTGGACTCCAACTGCCATAAATGTATTGTAGCTCCTAAATGTTACAATATTGTAGCTCCTAGCACACTGGTAGGTTGGTAGATTTGTTCTGGTACCATCTGACTGACTGACCCTCAATATCAGATCTTTCTCCTCTTGTGTAAACAAAATTTTATATCCTCTTAAAGCCAGTAGTTGTGTGCTGACTATAGGTGGATCTACAGAATTGGTACTTTTGTATAAAACAACTCTATATTATCACCAGAATATACTATTATGTGTTTTCAGAGAATGGAGTGAAATAAAATAAATGGCACTAGACTCACTGAATAATTTGAATTTATTTCCTTCTAACAGTCAATTACACTGTTTATCACTTACATTTTAGCTACAATTAGTTTGTAACAAACATGCCTACACCTCTTTGATGTATGTTAAAAAATCTAAATTCAGAGTTTTACCTATGTAGTGTCTGCACGGTGTTAAGTGGTGACACTGGGGCCTTCCTGAGAATTACTGACGCCACAGGAGATTTCTTAGTCTCATGACGACTCTCTATGCTCAGCCTTTGACTTGAAAATTGAAGGTCAAATAGTGCGCAATGATGTAGCTCTGACCTACACTCTTTTTGTAATGGTTAGAGACAACCTGTAGCAAGTAAGTCTTGACACTCACACAATAAAAGAACACAACAGTTGTTGGTGCCAAATAACCCTGTGGCACGGCATACAGGATATGACAAAACTCAGGAGTGAATAATGGCCCAGTTACACCCAGCCAATAATTGACCAGAGGATCTGCATCAGTGGTGTGGTCCTGCCTGGAGCGTCAGCTGGTGAACCAGCCAGGTATTTCAAAAGTGCCTTTGTTCCCACTACTTTTAATCGAGGTCCCGTTTAAGCACATTGCCATGGGCCTCATTGGGCCATTTCACCAGAGTGCAGCGGGATATCACTTTTAGAGTTGGATGTCTCGAGACCAGTCTTGAGACCACTTTTACGTGGTCTTGGTCTTGTCTTGGTCACGTCTTGGGCTCGCTGTCTCGGTCTTGCTATCACAGATCGACATAGTGGTCGGGAGATTTGGAGTCAACAGTATCCGTGACACACACACAACGTAACGTTCGATAATGTGTCATGCGCTCTAAGAGCCGTGCTTAGAGAGTGCTTTGTAGTGAGTCAGAAGAGTCGACTCCCATTGAGCGAGAGCTGGCTCCTCACTTAATTTCCTTTCGCTGCTCAGCTCTCACACAGTGGCTCAACTATGCGCCAATCCCTCCATATTGTGGCCAATCACATGCGAGGATATAGGATAATATCATTATGTGAAAAACAGAGAGGGTGAGAGACGCAACAGCCAAGTGGAGCGTGTGTCTGTCCTCTCAGTAAGTGAGTGAGACAGTAGACAGGGCTGAGGAGGGCTGTGCGAGTGCAAAAACACATAAATATGCCTGACACCCGAAGCAGCATCTGGCTGCAGTTTAAAGACTTTTTTGTCTCGGTCTCAATCTTGGTCTCGTCTTGACTTTGTCTTGGTCTTGACTCGGTCTGAAGCAGTGCTACTGTGCACCATTTCTGCCATGAGTGTGGAGCTGGCACTGATTCAAGTGGGCATCCCATGAAGAGATAATAGCTGACTAGCTTTGAGTTACTGTTCAGCAGGAAGCTGCAGAGGTGTGTTGGACCTGATTAAAGAAAACTGGGAGGAAGGTCCAAGCCCAGCTAAAAAAGAAATTCAGTACATTCTGGACCCGAGAGCAAAGCTACACACGTTGTTGAGGTTATCACGATAAAATTTACTACAGGCCCAAGAACTTCAGCAGTGCCTGTACAGCAGAGGGGTAAGGCTCAGATAATTTTCACCAAGAGACAAAGTGCTTGTATTATCCATTCTTCTACTTGCCAAGTGGCAAGGACCTTTCATGGTCACACGGCAAGTGGGAGATGTTGACTATGAAATGGTCCTACTCTCCTTAAAGCCTGGAGAAAGGCTGAAACAGTTTTTCTCGTGAGCCTGGTGAAGGAAAGAGATGAGTTGGGGCTGGAGTTCCTAAATTCCACCATTCCCATCTGCCTCTGTTGTGATGACCATTTCACACAAGCCCAGAGAGTAGATGCTGCTGTATTGCAACATCATTTTGCAGATGAGTTCTCCCTCCTGCCTGGTAATACCTCGCTCAAAGAGCACCATTTTGAAATGCACCTTGCTCTGGTTGTTGCATTCACAGTCCTGTCAGTTACCTGTTGTTTCGAATGAACTGGTGGAATTGCTAAAGATGTGGGTAATAAAAGAGTTGCACAGTGCGTGGTGTAGCCTGTTAGGATTTAAAATGATTAAATGATGCAGTTTTTTATGATTTTATATACACAACGCAATGTGCTCATAAACGAGTTGGCGCTCTGTGTTTTGACGGTCAAAAAATGTCTGAAATATTGAGAATTGACGTAGAAGTGCAGAGGGTCTTATATGCTGCATGCTTACACATCACACCAGATAACGGTTAGAAGGATATTTTCTGGGCAAAGGGAGTCTGAACAGAATGTTCCCAAACTAGATAAATGGAATCAGAGGTAGGTTAATATTAAATAATCAAGGCTGGACAGGGAGGTGTATTTGTCTCTGTCATTCCAGGAAAAGGAGCAGATACGAGGTCAGACGTGAGCGGAGCAGGGGACTCAAAGGGAGACATCAGGAGCGCCACGTTGGTTCCAGAAGAAGATAATAATAATAATAATGATTTTGTTGGGGTATAAAACTGTACGGGCAAATTCAGGGTCGTCTTTTCAGTGAAGACAGATGACTGTGTTCACAGAGAGGTCCAGCACTGTAAACTTGTAATTCCAACTGCTGAAGCAAATTAAATCTTTTTAAACAGAGGATATTTCTCCTCAACTTCCTTTGAAGAAATTGAACACAACAAGCCCCATAGTTCTTGTAGTGAAGATTTTAGGTCTATACAATTCTGTGTTGACTACTGTAAGGTGAATGAGGTCACAGTTTGATGCCCAGGTCGACCAGTTTCTGCACGGGTGGGCACTGCTTGTTTTTTCACGACACTGGCAGATTCCCTTGTCTCCAGAGTCCAAGGGAAAAACGTCCTTCTCCTCTCCGTGTGGTTTATGCCCATTTTTCACACTTATGTTCAGCTTGTTCAGAGCTACACAAGCTTAATTATTTTAATTAATTACCAAATGAAGGACAGGTGAGCTTTTGAATTTGAACTTAACTCATAAGTCATGAGAGCATTATCAAAGTTGATTCTTCACATTGACTTGCTCCCATTGTGGTAACACTAACATTAAGCTAGTGTTATTTATTTATTTATTTATAGCAGCTTGACAATAAGAAATGAGGTGCTGAGGTAAGTGTGTTGTTCTCATTGTATAAAATGTAGCATGGTACCTATAGCATTTTTAATTACATGTTTCATTTTTTCATTATTACAGCCAAGGAGTTATTTCTTTGTCCCAGGAAACTTATCAGTACAGAGTTTTTCAACGTAGATGACTTCTTTCCTATGAGGAACAGAATTTCGGGCGGGAATTTATCATTTATACCTTAGTGTGTTCCTTTTAGTTCCTTGTTTTGTTTTTCACTAGTTCTTGTTCTTGTAATATTCAAAATGAGCAATTATAGGTATTGGTTTGTTGGCATCCTTTTTTAGCAGCATCAAGATAGTGGATGTGGTGAAAAGTTATTTGGTTGACAGTGTCTGCAGGGTTCTTAAGCTGAGTGGCCATGAAGTCCGTCAGTAACTTCTCTGGACTGACAGGAGACTGATCAGAAAAACAGCCCCACACCATAATAGGAATCAGAATACATATGTACAAATAGCTCGATTATAAATGTCCAGACTATTACAGACATTAAATAGAGTATATATGATTGACATTTTATTTGTGTGTTACCCATTGGTGCATTAGAGTAATCTCAGTCTCCAACTGAACATGCTCCTGTGACTGGCCAGCACGTCATGGAGTAGGTGGGAGGTATTGTCCAGCATTGTCCTTATCTTGAACAACATCCGCCTCTCCAAAACCACTGTAAGAGAGTCCAGCTCCACCCCCACAACATTGGCCGTGTAGATCAGTTTATTGAGTCTGTTGACTGCAGCCCTCAAACTGCTCTCCCAACATGCAAGACTCATAGAAAATCCTGAGCATTGTCCAACAGATGTTAAAAGACCTCAGCTGATTCAGAGAATAGAGATGACTGTAGAGTGCAGTGGTGTTTTTAATCCAGTCCAGTTTATTATCAATGTGTACTCGAGGTATTTATAGCCCTCCACAATGTCCACATCAACCCCCTCAGTTGAAATACAGGGTCACAGGTTTCCTGGTCCTCTTAAAGGCCAATATCAATTCTTTGGTCTTTGTCAGACTGGTTCGCTGTCTCATCACCCTCACTGACGCATCCAACCACCGCAGAGTCATCAGAACACATCTGAAGATGGCAAGTCTCTGTGCAGTGGCTGAAGTCTGTGTTGAAGAGGAAGGGGGAGAGGACGCTCTCTTGTGGTACCCCTGTGTTGTTGATCACCTTATCCGACACACAATGTTGAAGACACACACAGTAAAGCCAGTAAAAGGCAGTAAAAGGCCAAAATAAAATTTAAAAAGAAATAGATGAATCCAGAGATCTAAACCAGTCTGGGATGGTTTACTCTGGATCATTGAGAATAAATAATTGAATCTTGGCAAGACCATAATTTTTTTTTTTTGAAGCAACCATTCCCATCAGTGATATGGATAGAGACTTCCATCAAGATCATCTTCTACTTTCTTTAAAAGTGGGATGTAGTTTAATTTAGTTAAATCTGCAAATCTAGTATAAACATTAAAGCTAAATATTTAATATTTCCAGATTGCAGTGGGGTGAAGAAGCATTATGAAAGGAGCAATTAATTGCAAGAACTGTAGATTTTAACTGGTTTATCAAATAATCTGAAATGCTTGAGAAAGAGTTTATTAATGTAATTATCTCAGAGAGAGTGGTTTGTGAATGCTGGAGAAAAAGCAACACATCATCAGCATAAACACTGATTTTATGTTCTACATTCTTGCATTTTATGCCCTTAATCACTATGGCCCGTCTAATTGCTGTTGCTGCTAGTGGTTCAATAAAAATTGCAAACAGTCACGGCTGAGAAGCCGGTGTGTTGTGGTATGGACCCAGAGACAGAATGCACAGGAGGAAAAACTGAGGTATAACAAAAAGCAATCAGTTTATTTAGGCTGATAGAGAAAAACAAAACAAAACAAAGGCGAACACAGGCAAAGACTAAATGATAACCTAAAGTGGGAACAGCTAGAACAAGACAT